ATCTGAATCTATATATTGAAAGAGCTTATTGGTACCAATGAAAATCAGCCCACAATGATCACCTTCAACATATATTCTTGTAACATTATTAAGACTTTAAAGGTAAATAAACTTCTCAAAAAATACAAAAAGCCACACAATAGAAGAATATTTACTTTTTAAATTTTTTTTAAATGTTTACTTATTTTTGAGAGAAAGAGGGGTGGGGGCCCAAGTAGGCTCTGTGCTGTCAGCAGGGAGTCCGACATAGGGCTCAATCCCAGATCATGACTTGAGCTGAAATCAAGAGTCGGACGTTTGACTGAGCTACCCAGGCAGCTCAGAAGAGTATTAAAAAAATAATAATAGTAACATGTGAATCAAGAACGTATTTACATAAAATCAAGCTGATCCTCAAGTCTCCATGTAATACAAATATAAAAATAAACAGTTCTTTTTAATGTTTATTTTTGAGAGAGAACATGCGAGGGAGGGGCAGAGAGAGACAGACAAGAATCTGAAGCAGGCTCCAGGCTCTGAGCTGTCCGCACAGAGCCCAACATGGGGCACGAATCATGAGACCATGACCTGAGCCGAATTTGGAAGTTTAACCAACTGAGCCACCCAGGTGCCCCTGAAAAAGCAGGGTTTTTTTAAATAGTTTTTATTTATTTTTGAAAGAGAGAGAGACAGCATGAGTGGGGGAGGAGCAGAGGGCGAGGGAGACACGGAATCTGAAACAGGCTCCAGGCTCTGAGGTGCCTGCACAGAACCCGATACAGAGCTTGAACCCACAAACCACAAGATCATGACCTGAGCTGAAGTTGGATGCTTAACCGACTGAGCCACCCAGGCGCCTCTAAAAAGCAGTTTTAAACATACAAGAAATTCTGCACCCATAAGTCCTGCTTAAAGAATCAATCTATTCTAAGATGAATTTACTCACTCACAGTATGACTGAGAGAATCTGAACAAAAAGATGGACAGTGAACATTTGTTATTTTTAAATACAGACCTCGAAACGTGCCTGGGTGACTCAGTCGAGTAAGGTTCTATCTTCAGCTCAGGTCATGATCTTTTTTTTTTTTTTTTTTTTTTTTTAAGAGGTTTAGGTAGAAACTTAATGCCTTTCTTTTTTTTCAATAATTTTTTTTAATGTTTTATTTATTTCTAGGAGATAGAGAGACAGCATGAGCAGGGGAGGGTCAGAGAGAGAGGGAGTCACAGACTGAAACAGGCTCCAGGCTCTGAGCCGGCAGTCAGCACAGAGCCCGACGCGGGGCTCGAACCCACGAACCGCGAGATCATGACCTAAGCGAAAGTCGGATGCTTAACCGACTAAGCCACCCAGGCGCCCCTCAGGTCATGATCTTTAAGTTCTGAGTTCGAGCCCTGCATTGTCAGTGTGGAGCCTACTTGTGATTCTCTGTCTCTCCTTGCCCCTCCCCAACTTGCATACTCTCTCTCAAAATAAACTTTAAAAATTAAAAAAAAAAAAAAAGATCTACAAAAGTTAGAGAGGTTGAAGAATAAGATGTTATATGAAATAGGCTTCATGTTATGAATTTATGTTCTAACAGAGTAAAAATAGGGAAAGAAGAGAGGAAAAGAGGAGGTACACTAGTTGGTTGGATGTTATGTAGTAGGTAGGACAGACAATTGGTAGGGGGTAAAGAACACCATTAAAAATAGACAAATCAGATAGTAAAAGATTAAGACAACAAAGGATCACAGGCATTTAAAAAAGTATAAATTGAAAGGTAACACTTAAAACAAAATTATAAAACTTATTAAACTCCAAAAGCAGTTTAAAATTAGAAGGAAAGAAAACAATATGAATAAATAAGCACAACAAGGGGCACATGGGTGGCTCAGTCAGTTGAAGTGTCTGACTCTTAATTTCAGCTCAGGTCATGATCCCAGGGTCGTGGGATCAAGCCCCACACCAGGTTCTGAGCTAAGTATGGAGCTTGCTTAAGATTCTTTCTCTCTCCCCACAGCCCCCCACCCCCACTCCACTCCCCAACCTGCACTCTTGCTCTCTCAAATAAACTAAAAACAACAAAAGAAAGAAATAAGCATAACAAATACATATCATTATAGCTTAAAATATGATACAGTTGAGATAAAACATTTCAATTTTATAAATAAGTGCAAATGGGCTTAACTCAGCTATAAAAAATGGATTTTCAATTTACTTCACAAAATAAGATGCAAAAAATGTGCTACATTCAAGAAACACATCCAAAACAAAATGATTTAGAAAGGCTAAAAATAGCAAAGCAGGTATACCAGGCAAATGAAAACAGTAAGAGACAAAGAGGAGGATATGCAGATGATATTGTCAGATAAAGAAGAATTCAAACTAAAAGTATTATTAGACATGACAAAGGAAATGTCTAATGCTGGAGGGCACAATTTGAAACGAAGGTATTATAATTAAGAATATTTATGTAACACTATAACCACCCCTATAAAAGCAAAATTCCAAAGAAAAGCAAATATACAAAAAGAGACATACCAATAGGAGAGCAAGAGTGTAAAAATAAAGATATGTATAGGAAGTCTAAAGAGAATAAGTAAGACAACTCTTCTGAATGTATATCCAACTTTGCATCCTGATATTGGCAAATAAACCTTCTCAAGCATACATGGGGCATTCATAATAAGGGTTGTATATTAGGTTATGCAGAAAATATTAGCAAGCTTCATGAAGTAGAGATATTCCAACCACACTCAGAAATATTTATGACCATGATGCAATAAAAATTAAGAGCAGCAAAGAAAGGTACTTCCAACTGGAAATAAATTTACTTATGTATTATTTACCCAATGATAAACAATTAGTGGATAAAAGGGAACTACTAAACAAAGTTACATAATTCAAAAAAAATACTGATAACACTAAAGTCATTTTGTGGCATATCAATTTTAAAGATGTCATCAAATTAAACGCCACAGTGTTAGATACATTTATCAGTAAAAATGAAAGAATATAAATGAATTAAAATTCTTTTCTAAATGCAAAAAAACAAATGACAAAATAAGCTCAAAACAAGCATAATGAAGACAATGAAATAAGGGAACTAGAAACAAAGATTAAGAAGGGAGAGAAAAAAAGAACAGGTCTAAATATAGTTAATAAATCAAAATCCAGTTTTTTAAGAAATTAACAAAATAGGCAAACCACTAGTTAACAAGGAAAAAAAGAGAGAGCACAAATAAAGAAAACAAAAAAAAAATGGTATGAAGAAAATAACCACTGACAAAACCGCTGAAATAACCATTAGAAAAAAGTCATGATTCTATTTTGCGGACATCACTGCAAATAAATTTCAAGACCCAGGTGAAATGGGTAATTTACCAGGCAAACAACTTAACTAAAACTGAATTACTTAAAGATAAAATCTGAAACATATCATTCTCCTTAGAAAAAATATAGAAGGGGCACCTAGGTGGATCAGTTAAGCGCCTGAGTCTTGGTTTTGGCTCAGGTCATAATCTCACGGTTTGTGGATTCGAGCCTCGCATTAGGCTCTGCACAGTCAGTGGGGAGATTACTTGGAATTCTGTCTCTCTGCTCCTCCCCTACTCACATGCTCGCTCGCTCACTCTCAAAATAAAAAACTGAAAAAATAAAGAAAATAATAAAGACCTACCCTCTTCCCACCCCAGAAAAGCACCAGGCTTTGCTCTCATAGGTAAAAGGCCAAAAAGTAGAGAAGAGATGAAGGATTAAACTAAAGGTGGAGACGAGGCGAGAGGATGAACATCACACTTAAAGAAAAGATACTGAGTTCCTGTTATAGTTCTAAAAGACATTTTATACATTTGTACCAATCAATGTTTCCAAATTAACTCAGAAAAAATTTAAGATTTATTTTATGATATTAGTACACCCAAATAGTTTTAGACACTTTTCCACCCTTCCTAAGACAAATCTCTAAGCCAAAGGTTCTCACCTTGACTACAGAGCTGATTCTCCTGGGAAGCTTTTAAAATACTGGCACATGGATCCCACCCAATCAATTCTGATTCAACTGGTCCAGGATAAGGACCAGGTAACTTAAGTCTTTCTAGGTGACTGTAATATGCAGGCATAATTGAGAACCACTGATCTCAGCTAAGAATAGCAACTATAGTGGCTAATATTTACTAACCATATATTATGTGTTATGTACTCTTCTAAACACTTTACATGTTACTAGTTGATTCTCTATTATGCAAGTGAAAAAACAGGTCAGATAACTCACCCAAAGTCACACATATGCTAACAGCAGAGTGAGGATTTAACACTAGGCAGTTTGGATCCAAAGCCCATGCTTTAAACACCTGATATACTGCCTCCTAAGTGTGAATTATACTTGTATTCTTTAATTGCAAATGAAATGATCAGAAAAAAAACAAACAAAAAAAAAGAGATACTTAACATCCTCCTTCTTGGAAGCAGTATAGTTGCATCTTGTTGCAAAAGTACCAACAAGCTTATTTGGAGAGTAAATAGGTAAGAATCTTCTCTTCCCAGGGCACCTGGATGCCTCAGTCGGTTGAGAGACCAACTTCCACTCAGGTCATGATCTCATGGTTTGCGGGTTCGAGCCCAGCATCGGGCTCTGTGCTGACAGCCCAGAGCCTGGGGTCTGCATCAGATTCTATGTCTCTCTCTTTCTCTGCCTCTCCCCTGCTCATGCTCTGTCTCTCAAAAGTAAACGAAAGAAAAGAAAGAAAGAAAGAAAGAGAGAGAGAGAGAGAGAGAGAGAGAGAAAGAAAGAAAGAAAGAAAGAAAGAAAAGAAAGAAAGAGAGAAAAGAAAGAAAGAGAGAAAAGAAAAGAAAAGAAAAGAAAGAAAAAGCAAGCAAGCAAGCTTCTCAAAAGGTTCAAATTTGAGATCTCCACACATGGTCCACACAAATAATTTCTTACATATCATCCAATACAGCCTAGTTATTCATGTAAGTATCAAAAATCACTTTAGCTTTAAAACTCAGGGCAGTGATGTACATTTACAAGAAAATTTCCTACCTATTTCAGTTCTGCTAACTCCAATGCCATTATAAATTCTCAAGTAATTAAAGTGACAAGAATCAGAATCTTCAATGTCAAAGTCACCAAATTTGATGCGCACTCTCTCTCCCATCTTTACACGGATCTCCCATTCACAAACGGTGCTGTTGGGATAGGTCTGTGGGTAGTTTATGGACGTGAGGGTCCCACTTTCAGGGCCTAGTACAGTATGTCCACATCCATCACCTTTAAAAAAAAAAAAAGTTAAAAAGAACGATAAATTATTATTACATCCTTAACTTATACTATAAATAATCAAGATTCTTTTGTGAAAATTTAGAAATATGTATGACAGACATTTTATACCACCAATACTTTCCTTACACAAGATAAAAGGGATGACAGAATTCTTAATATATCTACTCAAAGGAGCCAAGAGAAGTCAGGTATGGTCAAAATGATCAATGATTACCCTTATTCAAAAACCTTCCAATCTGAATAAACAGATTTATTAGTTTAACAATAGATTTATACACTTATCACAATAAATCCAATTTTAAAAGTGTATTAATTTATACGCTTGTTCAAAGTAAATGTAAACTATAAAAATAAAAGTGATCAGCTTCATCATTTATTTACAAATATCAACCCTTCTAGAATCTGTAAATAGAATGATTATCTAAAAACACTTTATTTTACTTTAATGTTTTTATTTATTTCTGAGAAAGAGAAAGAGAGAGACACAGTGTGATCAGGGGAGGGTCAGAGAGAGAGGGGAGATACAGAATCTGAAGACAGGCTCCAGGCTCTGAGCTAGCTGTCAGCGCAGAGCCTGATGCAGGTCTCAAACCCATGAACCGTGAGATCATGACCTGAGCCGAAGTAGGATGCTTAACCCACTGAGCCACCCAGGTGCCCCTAAAAACACTTTGTGCTAAAGATTATACAGATTATTGACTATATTACAGTATTACAAAGCATTCATTCTTGAAGGCATTAAAGCAACATTTAATGAAATTTAATTTTACATTCTGCTGAAATTGGACTTTGGAGTACTCCCCCTCCTAAAACCTCACTTTTCCCTACAGAATGATGAGGAAAAAAATAACAGTTTAATGATGTATTAGAAACTGGGAAAATAACCTTCATATCTTGGTAGCAGCATGATTTGCTCCAGAAATTCATTCAGCAACTGGATATGGGGACTCAGGTAACTTTACATAGTACTATTTTTTTTAATGTTTTATTTATTTCTGAGAGAGAGAGAGAGAGAGAGAGAGAGAGAGAGCGAGCATGAGCAGGGGAGGGTCAGAGAGAGAGGGAGACACAGAACCTGAAGCAGGCTCCAGGCTCTGAGCTAGCTGTCAGCACAGAGCCCGACGCGAAGCTTGAACCTGTGAACCGTGAGATCATGACCTGAGCCGAGGCCTGACACTTAACCGACTGAACCACCCAGGCACCCCAACATAATACTATTATTTGCACGCTTCCCTTTATCGTAAAAGGTGGTGTTTGGGCAACTAAAAGAGGCAAGCAATCCGTGGTAAGAAGTTTCAGCTGCTGCTTCAATTGTACCACTCAGCATTCCTTCATGATGGAATTCAATGATGAATCTCTTTTGAATCTCTAAAAGGAAGATGGGTACACTGTACTAAAATGATAGTATTTTTTCCTTCAAAATAGCCATTTATAATCACCTTTGCAATAGTTCAGTACTTAACACACACACAAAAAAAACTATACTAAAAGTGACAGTGCCGAGTTTTACCGTCAATATATAGATGGCTGTAACAAGAATATCTGATTTATTATTTTTAAAAACAATGCAGTGCTGATACTATGTACTAGACCAAATAAAAGCTTTAAAAGCCTGTGAATAAGAAGTTAATACAGTATTTAGCAAGTAGTTACAAAACAAGGATTCATTAATTGGATGTATAAGGAAACTGTACATGAACCAATGAAAAAGTAATTTCATACCAATCTCAAAACTAAATTTTTTTGAAAAGATTTTTTAAAATAATTTTTTTAATGTTTATTTATTCTGAGAAAGATAGACAGTACAAGCAGGGGTGGGGCAGAGGGAGAGAGAGAATCCTGAGCAGGCTCTTCACAGTCAGAGCAGGGCCTGATTTGGGGCTCAAATTCATGAAACTGAGATCATGACCTGAGAGAAATCAAGAGTTGGGACGCTTAACCTACTGAGCTATCCAGGCGCCCCTCAAAACTAACTTTAATAAAAGAACACTCTGTATGGGGTTATGATAACAATACTTGATATCCTTTTCTAGTCAAGCAATTCTAATATCCATACTAGTATTGTTAGCCTACTTTTAAATGTTTAATTTTGAGAGAGAGAGAGAAAGAGTGTGTATGTAGAGGAGGGGACAAAGGATATGAAATGAGCTCCTTGCTAACAGCACAGAGCCCGACACAGGACTCGAATGCAGGAATCTAAGATCATGACCTGAGCCAAAGTCTGGATACTTACCTGACTGAGCCACCAGACACCGCTAGCCTACTTTTAAAGGCCAATACTAGCAATCTGGCTTCCTAAACAAATTATCTCACATAAAGCTCAGCTTTTGAGCAATGTTAAACTTCAGCTATTTCTACACCTGCTTTCTATCTACACACAAATACTAGGCATAGCCACTGAATATATAAAGGCACCATGAAATAAACACGTGAGGTTTGTGATACACCCACTGATCTTTTGTAAATATAAAATTTAAATGTTACTCCGAAGGAAAAAAAGAAAGAATTTTTTCCCTGAAACTATCAAGAAAATACTTTGAATATCTCTGAGTGTCATCCAAATTAGAAACACAAGGATATAAAAACTGTCACTGTAAAAAATGAATGTTTTATATATATATGTTTTATAAATATAAATTTATGTTATAAATGAATTATAACATAAATAACTTCTGAATAATCATTAACATTTTTCCTTAGAGGAAAAAAAAAAACTACTCCCTAAGACAAAGTTTCTAACGTTATGAAACTAGTCTGAAATGTTCTCTTAATACTGAAAAGATGAAAATGTGCTTCCTGGAATGTTTAAATCTTTGAAAAATAGCCACTAAACAAATGAAGTTAACTCAAAATATAAATGTACTTTCTTTGGTGAATAGAAACTAAAGCAGTTTTTTTCAGTGTCTGTAAGTGTTGATGGATTTTAGGAAGCCAAGAATTCCCTATTAACAGCTGAATTCATGACTTAGTAATGGCAGATTGTCCCAACTAACGTATTCCCCACAGGCTATTATTTAACTTAAGGTTGCCATTTTAAAATGAATTTTACAAAAAGTACAAGCAGTGTTAGTAACTTTTATGTCTTTATGCTCATATTTATGTTTGATTCTCAATAAATACACAATATGTTTCTTGCCCTTTCCTCTAGAAAGCACAATTTCTACACATTAACAAAATAAATACTAACTGATGAAAAACAGGACTTTTGCATGCATGCTGATGAAGAAAACAATTAAAATGGAGCTGTCTTTTTTCAGTATCTTGTGTAGGGGGAGGGCATGAAGAGTCCACAAGTAATGTGCCAAGAATGTTCTAAAATATGTGATGGAGTTCAGAGCTTCCTCCTCTAACAAAAAAGATATGCACCAGAAACCAAAGTTAAAAGAGGCTCAAATCTACTACTGAAATGAACAAGTTTGAATGTTTCATATGTCCAAGACTTTGGTAAGTTCAACCTGACAAGATAAATAGCTTAGCTGGCCTGGACAAACACTTATTGCCATGACATGTATGTTTAGAATATTCTAGTTTGAAAGGGGAGGCTGGGCTTATACTATACTATGACTAGGCCAGCAGCTCTCAAATGTTTTTCTCAGTTATTCCCAAATAAGAAATACATTTTACATTGTATTCCTACACTCATGCATGTATAATCCTGACCCACTCTGGTCCCCACCAGCACTCAGAAAACGACTGTACTATATACTAGGCATCCAAAGGTCATAATGTTAAATTCTCAAAGGAAGACCTTGTCCTCACCTTTACACCCAAATTAGAAAATATGTTTGCGGTTTATTTTCACAGTTCTTAAAAGCAAATCCTATTCTGTGCAATACTTAAAATGACAAAGTATTTAAAAGTAGTACTAGGCATCCAAATGTCATAATGTTGAATTCTCAAAGAAAGACCGTGTCCTCACTCTTACCCTCAAATTAGAAAATGTGCTTGCGGTTTATTTTCACAGTTTTTAAAAGCAAATCCTGTTGTATACAATACTTAAAATGACAGCGTATTTAAAAGTAAAACTAAAATCTGGAAAATATTCTTTATCAACTAATCACCTAATATACTCACTCATAGCAGTGGTGCTCAAGTGGGGGGTGAGGGGGAGTCTCCCATGGGAACAACTTTACCTCCCATTTGGCAATGTCTGGAGATATTTTTGGTTGCCACAACTGAGGGGGTGGGGGGCTACTGACATCTAGTAGGTAGAAGCCAGGAATGCTGCTACACCTCCTACACTGTGCACAGGACAGCCCCCCAGAATAAAGAAGGATTGACTTTACATGTCAGTAGTACTGGGGTTGAGAAAGCAGGCTTGGAGCTAAGGCCAGCTCTCAGAACTGTTCAGCTAAGGCCAGAACTCACAGAAGATCTGAGTGAGTTCTTGGCTGGGTTTCCTTTGGCCCAAAAGATAACGCTGTTCTGTTCACTATGGGTAAAACCTAGGGCATACTTTCCCCACTGTGGTCAGTAGTTATACTAAAGAGTTTTACAGTCCTACTTCCTTTATAAGTAAATGGAAGTTAAAGGAAGGAAAATGTCCTTTTTATTAGTCTACATCCCTGGAATAATTTTTTTTCTGGGTCAGGAGTTCTTAAAATCAGGGTTTAAAAAAGGGTGCTAATAGGGTCAGGAGTAAGTCTCCAAATTTTCTGCTTAGCTTTGTGTGCTGGAAGTAATGATCTGTGACCAAGCTACACTGCCTCTTGTTACTGATTTTCACAAGGCAGAATTGACAAAGGCAGCATAACTACTACGGGGAAAATTAACTTTCACATGGTTTTCCTAGGACCAATCCATACACTCTTCCCAGTAACTCCAACATCACCAAATCCTCCTTCTCCAACTCCATCACCACCACCATCACTGCCAGCTCCTCCTCTTCCTCTGGATAGACTCCACCAAAGTATAACCGACTATCCAGAATAAAAGCCTGTTAATGTAATTTTTGAATTTCAGTTTTATTTCAGTGGATAAGAAACACT